CGTCTGTTCAATATTGCGAAGGCCTTAGGCCGGTGCCGCCGACCCTGAATGGCGACGACGACGACGACGACGAGCGCTCTCGGGGGCCTCTTGGGGGTAGTTTGGGGGCCTCTTGGGAGGCGTCTGTTGGCCGCTTGAGAGCCTCGCGGGGGGCCCTTTTCGGTATTTGACCATGAATCTGACCCAGGTTAACCTTTCTTGTGTGACATCATCGACTGTACTGCGCAGTCGTTGCTGTGCCATCGAGGTGTGCTCCGCTGCATTCCTCAGTCCCCTGACGAAGGCGCACGTGAGACAAAGCGAGCACAACGCTCCGCGCCCTGATTCCAAGCTGGCATGCCAACCCGACCTGATCATTGATGGGACTACCGTCGCGGAGGCCAGTTCTGGCAGGTCAGCGAAATCATGGTGATGCAGAGCCCTGTGTCGCGGTTTGCGTTCGAGCTCACAGGCCCGGTCGGGGCCGCCGCGCTCAACATTGGCCTGGAGATATTCCTTTTGGCAGTGCCGGCCGACGTGAAAGAGGCGACTGCGAGGAAGGCTGTTCGAAATCAAGGTGTAGCAGCAGTTGAGACAGCAGACACAGATGGGCGAGATTCCGAAGAACTCGTTCCAGCCTGCGGCTCATCGTTTCCAGCTTTGAGAACGCATGCATCACTTTCTGGCGCGGTTCGACCCAGCGCTACAGCAGCTCGGGGAGAAAGACGTCGCTCGTTGCGCGGGTGCGGCGGCATTCGAGCTGGCGTCCCCTCCGTGGGCTATCACCATTGGCGCAGCGCCCGACGGAAGCAAGGGCGACAAGCGCAGTTCTGGCTGCAGCAGTGGTCGGCTCGCGGCGGCAGCGGGCGCGGCGCTATATCGCGACGTCCTGCCATGGCGAGGTGGAAGCTCGGACGCGCATGGACCGGCGCAGGTCGACCTCGCGCTGCGAGGGCTGCGGGACGACGGGGCCCTGAGCTGGGGACAGCTCGTGCCCGTCTCCGCGTGTCCACGTGCACGCCGTGTGTGGGTGCCATCGCTCGGCCGGCGTGACTGGCCCGGACACGGACAGCCGTCGGAGGGACGCCAGCTGTGCACCACCACCGGCCCCGGGCAGGCGCTTCCTGGGCCCCGGATCGGCGTGCAGACCTCGTGGCCTGGGCCAGGAAGGCCCGTGCACCAGCCCAGGGCCCGCGATAGGCAGACCTCGTGGCCTAGGCCAGGAAGGTCGGTGCACCAGCCCAGGGCCCACGATAGGCCGGCCACGGCTGGTGGTGGTGGTGGCATATTGTTTGGGGCTCTCCTAAACAGGTGCCCCGATGGCCCGTTCGAGCAGCCACCCACCCGAGGCCTTGTCATGCGTCGCCGAGCGTGGCGTGCCAGACTTCGTGAGGCGCTGACATTTCTGGATTGCGGCCTCGACGCCATCAGTGTAGCCTGCCTGCCTCTTCTGTGTCGTGGGTCTCCCGCGGTCGACGGACTGCCACCCGCGGCTCGAGAAAATGGGCCTCGCGGACGAGATCTCCTCTTCCTCGTTCTCGCCCTGGTCCTCTCTGTCTCTTTCTCCTCGTCGTCCTCTGCCTCTTCCTCGCCGTTCTATGTTCTCCCCCTTCCTGCTGTGTCCACCCCGCCCGAACCTCATCTCCCAGGCGCTGTCGGGGCGATCACCTGGCGGCGGCCCTGTTGGCAGCGCGGGCCCGGTGAGCGGGGGCGACGTGTGAAAGGGCTGGCCGGCTGCTGCTCCCACAAGCTTCCACGGCTGCTGACCTGTACGAATCCACTAGACAAGTTCGGATGCAACCCTGGGAGGTTAAATTCTGAATTTGCCCTGGTCCGAAATACGGCTTAATCCCGCTCAACTTGGCTCAATTCCGCTTAATCCGGCTTAGTCCCGCCTGACCCGCGGCCTACTCTGGCGTAGCAGCCCCTCAGTGAGGCTTAGTTACCCCTAGCCTTTCCGACGAAGACCTCCCTGTAGTTGCCGTATACTTCCAAGCCCTGCGCGTCATGGACCCAGGAGCACTGTATGTGCCTCCCTGGCTCAGCCGGGAGGGCGCCCACACCGTCTTTGGACCCAGGGTGGGCTAGGCCGAGGGCACTGGGATGTGTAGGCCCTGTCGCCTCATACCCCCCCCCCGCCCAGCCCACGCTCCACGGCTGCTGACTCGTGGCCCAATCCGCCCCCGCGGGAGCAAGAGGGAGAGGAGGAGGAGGAGCAAGAGGGAGAGGAGGAGGAGGAGGAGGAGGAGGAGGACGAGGAGGAGGAGGACCAGTGCATCTCGGAGTAGGAAGCGCGGACCCTCGGGACCCAGGCCCGTGAGCGGGCCCGCTCCCGTCCTGTGGAGGAGGATGAGCTCCTACCTGACGGGTCGTGACGGCCCCGTTTTTTTGGCGCCGCCCGACGCCCCCGTCGCGTCATGGGTTTTTCCTTCTCTTTGCATGTTGAATGAGGTGGCACTTGTTTCAGCCGCGTAGCTAGCGAGGAGGAGGACCAGTGCAAACCCGAGACTCATCAACGATGTTGGAATAAACTCACCCTCCAAGCTCCCTCTTCTTCACAGACCTCTACAAGGGTTCATTTCCCCAGGGAAGTAACCCGTTGAGGACAACCGCTTCAAGATCCCGACGCGAGCCAAAACACCATTTGCGGAATTGCTTGCAGAGCCGCGAATCAACTCGACTGTTGCGCCTTGACGATCCCGAATCGTGTCAGAGCACCATTCCTGGGATTCAGACGCCGCATCTCAACCTGACTGTCGCGCCCAGAGAATCTGGAATGGTTTCGGAGCATTCCTGATACTCTGGCCACGGGAAGCCGCGAAGCTCTTGCAATCTCTTAAGACGAGTGTGCGCGGCGCTAAATGATCTTGGCGAAGGACCCAACCATATGCAGCTGTGGGTACCGCAATTGTGAACACCTTATTCAGTGAAGCTCTCTATGGGTGAGGATGGAAGTCGCAGCTCTGGAAGTGAAGCCTTCGAGTTTTGGAGCTGCGTGTCCATAAGCATCTCCGAAAGCTCATATTCTTCATTTCTTCTTCATCACCTTTGCGCTCATGATTGCCATCTCCTTAAACCCTTCGCATTCATCACCTCCGTCCTCTCATTTTTCTTTCGCGTCGCGAAACTCATCGATTTGGACATCAGGACTGGCATTTTGAACGACATTGGCAAACTAAGACAAGGCACTGTGGTTCGGGGGGTGGCAAACAAAAACAACAACAAAACAAACGCACATGCTTTTCTTGGTCATTAGGGTTCCAGACCAGCTAGACAAATGCAATTCGAGCGAGGTTTGGTTGGGCGGTGGGCGGTTGGTTGGATCATGTGTCGTCAGTCTCCGACCGACCGAGGAGGGGGAGGAGGGTGAAGAGGAGCAGGAAGAGGAGGAGAAGGAGGAGGAAAAGGAGGAGGATGAGGAGGAGGAGAAGGATGAGGAGGGAAAAACGAGGAGGAGAAGCAGTAGGAGGGAGGAGGAGGAGGAGGAGGAGGAGGAGGAGGGCAGAGGAAGAGCATGATGATGATGATGATGATGATGCTGATGCTGATGCTGATGCTGATGCTGATGCTGCTGCTGCTGATGATGAAGATGCTGATGATTATGATGATGATGATGATGATGATGATGATGATGATGATGATGATGATGATGATGATGATGATGATGATGATGATGATGATGATGATGATGATGATGCTGATGCTGATGATGATGATGATGATGCTGATGATGATGATGATGATGATGATGATGATGATGATGATGATGATGATGATGATGATGATGATGATGATGATGATGATGATGATGATGATGATGATGATGATGATGATGATGATGATGATGATGAGGATGAGGATGAGGATGAGGATGAGGATGAGGATGAGGATGAGGATGAGGATGAGGATGAGGATGAGGAGGAGGAGGAGGAGGAGGAGGAGGAGGAGGAGGAGGAGGAGGAGGAGAAGGGCGGATAACAGAAAAGGAGGAGGAATGATGAGGCAAAAGGAAGAGGAGGAGGAAGAGGAGGAGGAGGAGGACGAGGAGGAGGAATGGGAGGAGGAGGAACGGGAGGACTAGGAGGAGGAATGAAGAGACAAAAGGAGGAAGCGGACGACGAGGAGAAGGAGGAGGAGGAATGAGGAGGGAAAAGGAGGAGGAGGAGGAGGAGAAGGAGGAGGAGGATGAACAGGGTCCGTTGTCTCCTTTTTTTTCTCCGCTTGGCCTCCTGGTTCGTGCGCCACCCCCCCCAGGCTGCCCCACGGCCTTTCGGTCAGCTGGCCCCTGCGCCACGAGCCTGCCGATGCCATCGTCCCCGAGGCCTCCTGTGTCCCAAGCAGTGGCGAGGCGTCCTGGCTGGCCTATAGGGCCACTAAAAGGTGTTCTAAGAACCTTTTGTGGGTTGCACGAAATGTTCTTCGAGCATGTTTGGCTGGGCCTGTCTTGCTTTAATCCGTCGAGTTTATGTTCTAAGAACGTCTGTTTCTGTTCTTAGAACATTTCTGGGTTCTAAGACAGTTTCGTGTTAGGCCTATACGAATGCCGGGACGGCCGGTCCCTGCTCAACCTCGAAGCCTGATGTGTCAGAGGTACAGTGGGGACCGATGCCAAGAAACACACTGCTTGCCTCCAGGGTGCCCTGGGTTTCTTGGGTTTCGATGGTTTTGCGATGGAGCTCGAGAGGTTCTCACACCAGAACTCAATGGACGTCCTGGGGTCTCAGGGTTGGGTTTCTTGTGGGAGGTTATTGTGGTCGAGCCCTCACTGTACGTTGCGGGCTGCGTTCTCGCGAGCCAGGTCGAGTATATATCGTTGTATGCCTGTTGCGTCGCCCTTCGCAAGATAACCTTCCCATCTCCGCCGACAACACGCGTGATACATTTGCACGAGTGATGTGCATACTGGAAGGTCCTCGTGAGGTGTCAGTGATTTGTGTTGCAGCATCACCGAAGCGTGAGGGTCTGGGAACAGATGCCTCGGGATGGTCTGTAGTATGTCAGGGGCAGTTCACCCCGAGGCGATGGAGGAGCAGATCAAGAGCGAGAGGCGCTGGTGGCAGGAACACCTTCTCCAGGAGGTCGCCATAGGGGGCGGCAGAAGAGAGCAGGCAAGGGGGAGTGACGCGTCTCAGGACCGCTGCCTTTGGGAATGTCTCAGGGTCAGAACAGGGCGAGAGTGGGGGTGGGCCAGCGACATGGGCGAGTGGCTCTCCATCGAGGCCCGTCCTCTGAAAACTGGGAGGTCGGGAAAGAAACCTTGAGGACCACAAATTTCGGGGCGGCATCGGTTCGCCCGCGGACCAGTTCGCCTGGACCGCTTCGCCCCTGGACCGCTTCGTCTGCACCGCTTCGCGCGGACCGCCTCGCCCCCAGACCGCTTCGTCTGCGTCCCTTCGCTCGGACTGTTTCGCCCACATCGCTCCGCCCAGACCGCTACGCCCGCGCACCGTCCGCGGGCGCACCCCGTCTCGATGCCCGCACGCGCGCTGCAGGTCCTGCCCACCCGCCCGCCGGGGTCCGCCCGCCCGCCCTCCAGCTCGCTCGCCCGCTGGGGCCCGCCCGCTCCTCCTCCTCCTCCCCCTTTTTCCTGTGCGTTCATCCTCCACCTCCTCCTTCTCCTGCTCCTCCTCCTCTTCCCCCTCCTCTTCCCTCCGCATTCCTCCTTCTCTTCCTCGTCCTACTCCACCTCCTCCTCCTCCGGGTCCGTCCGCCAGTCGAAGTCCACGGGTTCGCCCGCGCGAATGCTCCAATACCTCGCCCGCGTGTTCAGGTCCGCCCGCCCGCCCGCGCCAAATTGCCCGACGACGCAGCGGCCCCCGCCAGCCTCCGCCCGCCGACGAAGCGGGCCCCCCCGGCGAAACGGCACGGACGAGGCGAGATCCGACGGCGGAGCAGCGCACGTCCACGCACGTCCTCCTCCTCCTCCTCCTCCTCCTTGTCCTTCTCCTCGTCCTCCTCCTCCTCCTACTCCTGGTCCTCCTTGTGGGATCTGCGGCAGTTGTGCCAGCAAGAGACATTGTAACTTGCACAAAGAGTGTGATTTGAAAGCCACACCTACGTGAGCTGAATATTTAGGACGAATCCATTTGGGACTCCAGCCGAAAGCTTTGAGTCGAGCTGAGGTTGCAGCTCGCCTGAAGCCAGCTCGGGAGTCCCCGTCCCAGGTGTCAGGCTATTTTTTCCCATTTCACTTAGTGAACGACCTTGCTCTTGCTCTTGTCCTAGCCCGGTCCATGCTGGGCCCATGAGCGGTGTGTATGCGTCCCTGGCGAAACCAGGCGGAGGGGGGTATACACTGCTGCGTCGGTCCGGGATTGGCCTGACTATAGTAGGGGTCCTGGACGTGCATAGATCTCGTCGGCGCATCAGGTCCGTTGAAATTGAGAACGGAAGGCAGGCTCCCCCTCCTCCCCTTCCCCCCTCCTTCCTCCTCCTCCTTCCTCCCTCCTCCTCCGTTCTCTCCTCCTCCTCCTCCTCCTCCTCCTCCTCCTCCTCCTCCTCCTCCTCTTCCGCATCCTCCTGCGCTTGGCGCTCTTCCCCCCTTCCTCCCCCTCGTGGGGACAGAAAGCCGCCGGCACGTCTACTCGCTTGCGCGTCCCCTGGCACGTTTGCGGCGCGGCGCGTCCCCTGACACGATCCGTGGCGCTTCCCATGGCACGTCCTTTGTCGCGTTCCCTTGTGTGTCCCCCAGCGCTTCCCTCGGCACGTCCCCTAGCGCGTCCAGTGACAAGTACCTTCGCATCTCCAGTGGCCCTGGTCCAGTGGTGCGTCCCGTTGCACGTTCCCTGGCTCGTCCTCTGGCGCTTCCCCTGCCCGTTCCGTGGCGCGTCCACTGGCGCGATTTTCCACCCCCGCCTGGCCCCCTCCCCCCTGGGACGTTACTGGCGTCAGTTCAGTGGGTGGAGTTCTGTGTTACCCTGGCAGATACCCTGAATTTCATTACCGGTTCGAGCTACGCTGTGCGAGGGGTCGGACGTCCCCGTGTTGAGCGTCCTCGCACCGCGGAGGCGCAGCTGACCACAGTTCCATTTTTCGGGCGCAGCGGTTGACAGAATTCGCAAGGTCGATCGCCTTGCGAGTGATATTCGAAGGCGACAGGTGGCGGTGCCCGAGAAATGTGCTCGTTGCGATCCTCGGGTTTAGGTCGAATTGAGCACGCACCGCTGCGGCCTACGCTTGCCCAGGCCGCAGCCTTTGCTCTGGCCCTTGCCAGGACTGCTCATGATATTGTACGGCCAAGAAGGGCCGAGGAACAGAGGAGGGTTCCCACTTCTCGTGCCGCCGCTGCCTGGAGAGTCGAGGGGGCTCCTGGCAGTTGGCCATGGGGTTGTTGTCCTCTCCTCCTCCGCCACCTCCTCCCCTTCAGACCCCGACAGCTCAAAGGGGGAGTCCTACGAAGGCCAGCGGCCATCAAGCCGCCAGTCACCATCGAGAAAATGCCCAAGTCGCGAGCAGCCTGCCGCAGGGCCGCTCGAGGAGGGCAAGAAGCCATGAGAAGGCGACAGCAGGCACTGGCTGAAGCAGGCTGCGATGACGACGAGAACGACATGGAGCCAGTGCCGCAGCTGTGCTACGACAAGGAGGTGCAGCACGTCGTCCAGGATGAGCTATGGCTGGCCACGGCAGCCGAAGTTCGAGTGCGAGCACTGGGCGAATCCCCCGCGCACTTGCAGGGCAAGGTCGTGGGCGTGCTGATCGGAGGCGACATGCTGGCGCTAGGTCGGCAGTACGGGCATATCGCGGACGCGCTCGAGCTCAGCCTGTGCAAGAGCGCGGGCATCCCCGAAGTCGAGCGCGGCAAGCACCTTTGGCACAGCAGGCCGCCGCGCTACAAGTGCATCAGCATCCAGGACACGGTATCTTCCCTCCCGTGGGCGGGCGTCGAGAGGAAGGCGCACGCGTGGCGGGCGGAGATCGCCTCGCTGGCGCGCCAGCTCTCGCATCGCGACTCGCGAGCCTGGGAGGAAGCGGCGGATCGCCAAACCGTCAATCAGCAGGCCCAAACTGACGAGTACTCAGGACTATAAAGGGGCCCGTCGGCGCCAGAGCCCAGTTCTGCCTTGCCATCAGGCCAGGCAGTCAGCGACGGCGGGCATCCCCCACCAGCATTGAGCCCGTCAAAGGGCACGGGGGGAAGCTCGGAGGATCGCGCCCCCACCGAGCGGGGCCAGGGCCCCCCGTGCCGCCCCAGCAAGTAGGGCATGCAGACAGAGGGGGGGGGGGGGGGCGACGGCAGCACCAGCACCACGCACAGTGACATGAGACAGGCAGCGCAGGACGAGGTTCCCCCGCCTCAGGCTGAGGCCCAGGAGCCCGTGATCAGGCCAGAGAGAGGGTGCGACGATCGTTCCCGCGGCTACCCAGAAGGTGGCGCAGAAGGGATTCAGAGGGGTGCCCTTCCCCCGCCGGCAGGGCGCAGCACCGTGGACATCGAATGCCACGACCCCTTCGAAGACGAGGGGGACTGCATCGGGTACCACAAGCAGTGGGGCGTTCGCCAGGGCGCAGGTGGTAACGGCCTGGAGCTAGCTGTGGGGCGAGCAGGATCAGCAGGTCCCCAGCGCGGTGGGCGCTTAGGCCACTGCCAGCCCCAGCGCGGCGAGGGGCCAGGCCCCGGCAGGCCCCGGCGCGGCGAGGGGTAAGGCCGCAGTGGGCCCCTGCGCGGTGAGGGGCGAGACCGCAGCGCACCCCAGCGCGGCGAGGGGTTAGGCCACAGCGGGCCCCAGTGCGGCGAGGGGATAGGCCGCAGGGGCCCCCAGTGCAGCATGGCGAGGGGCTAGGCCGCGGCAACGTGGGCCAGCCCCGCGGCCGCCCAGGAGGCGGAGCAGAAGGGATGCAGAGAGGTGCCCTTCCCCCGCCAGATGAACGCAGCACCGTGGACATCGAATGCCGCGACCCCTTCGAAGGCGATGGGGACTGCATTGTGTGCCACCAGCAGTGGGATATCCACCGGGGCGCCGGGGAAGGAAGCCCGGAGCTAGCAGCCGGACAAGCGATGGCAGCAGGACCACAGCCTGGCGAGGGCGGGGCCGCAGCCAGCCCCAGCCTCGGCGCGGCGAGGGGCTAGTCCACGTTGGGCCCCAGCGTGGCGAGGTGTTAGGCCACAGTGGATGCCGCGCATCGACGAAGGACATGCCGGCAGAGCTGCCGCATGACGTGGGCCTAGTGCAGAAGGGGTCGCGATGTCGAAGACTACGCGGCGATGCGTCTCTACCTCCAGAGATGGGCAGCCACGCGGATGGACGACCTGGCGCGCGGCCCGACATCCAGCGAGCAGTCTGGTGCCCGCCCCTCCTCGGAGCAGTGATTGGCAGCGGCGGGCGCGCTGGGTCACTGCAGCAGATCCGAAGATGGTTCCCGCGCACCAGCCTCAGGGACATCCCCTGGGGCCAGTGCGAGAGCGCATGGCGGCGAGCTGCTCCGCGACGCCATGATTTCCTGAGGAGGCTGGCGGGCGTGGCCCTCATGGAGCGCTATGACCTGGAGATGCAACGCTGGAGGGATTTGGCAGCACTGCGAGACATTATGCGTCGCACACTCGGGGAAAGAGCGCCGGGGCGCAGCCCGCGACCCCAGCCGCCTGGGGCAGCAGCAGGAGGCGCAGCGAGTCAGCCGCGCGAGCCCGAGGAGCAACCTGGGCAAGAGCAGGGTTTAGTCAGACATCCACGGGGGGCAGCAGCTGAGCGCGCAGATGGCGCAGAAGCGAGGAGTGGCCAGAGAAGTCGAAGTAAGCAGATGGCCAGCCTCAAGCGAGTCAACCATGCGCTGCAGCAGGCGCGAACGAGGCAACAGCTTGCACCTTTACTCCAGAACCCAGACTGCGGCGGGGCCAAAGAAGACGGGGAGGCGAAGGAGCAGCTGGAGGAGCAGCTGCTGGCAGTACTCGACTCCATTGCGGGTGGGCCCCTAGCAGACCCATGCGCTTGCAGCAGGGTTGCCGAGGAGGTCAAGAGCGCAGCCAAGCTACTCACCAATGCAGTGAAGAAGGCGTACATCCACTGGGTGCATGGCGCAACAGCAGGCAGCGCGAAAAGGGCCCACGCTTGCACCCAGGCGGCCGAGCGCAGCCACCTCGAGG